ACCACACACACACACACACACACACACACACACACACACACACACACACACACACACACACACACACACACACACACATCTCCCCACTGCATGAAAGAGAGCAGCTTCTGAATTGTTTTTTGTGTTTCTCTTTTCCCTTTTCTGGACAGTGTATGAATAGAATCAGTCTTTCACCATTTCGAAAATGTTGTCTGTCCTCTTCACAGTTCATCCATTCATGTTATCATGCAATCACTCATTCATTCACTCTTCATCTGGCAGCTACAGTGTTGTATACACTGAGCTTGGTGCTGTGGATAAAAAGACAAATAGGTCCTGGTGCTGACCCTTGGATTTTACCCTGTGATAGGAGGGACAGCAAATGTAAGTGCCATTTGTCTAGGACTTCAAGAGAATTGTAAACTGAGACTTTTGGACTCTTTGGCTGGAGGAAGGAGACCACATACACCTTTATTCTTAAGGCCCATAGTCTCTGTTATATTCATGTCTGACAAGTTGCAATCAGGTGTGGATGAGGTGAAGAGAAGGCAGGCTATGATTTAGAGCTAGATTGAGTAGGGTACTGCCTAGCCTTACATGGCAGATAATGGGGTACAATAGTGAAGAGTGGTTTATGAATTTGGGGTTAGAGCCTCAGATATGTTCTCAATTTCTTAAAAATAAAACTGGTTAACATTTGCTGAATCTAGTTGCCCTTGAGTTTAGGTATTTTATATACTTAATCCTATTTCACAGAAGGTCTCTAAGGAATATCACCTTCTATAGTTGAGCACATGGAGTCTGATAAAGGTTAACTAACATTCCCAAAAATCATACATCAAATAAGGTTTAGAGCTTAGAATTCCAATACAAACTACACTGTCTCCTTAGAGGGTAAATTCCATCGATGTGTACATATTATCATAGTAAAATAGAGTCTTTGAAATTTGACTGAGTGTTTTTAAGTCATTTTGATAGAGAGGGACATCAACAAAAGAATACTGCCCCAAAGAAGTCCTGTTTGGCCCTAATCCAAGTCATCCGGAGTTACTGTGTGTGACCACATAGGTCCTGAATTCACCTCCTAGAATTAGGCAGAAACTGCACATTCCCAATTAGCTGTGATGGACCCAGTTTTGTAGTTACAGATCTCTGCAGCCTATGACTTCACTTGTATTCATTATTATAGCTAAATTGTTCTCTTTGGAAATCTAGAAAATTTACTTTGAAAATGTAGATCTATTTAAAGGAGTTGAGCCATCAAATGAAGTAAGAAACTAAGCTAATGATTTCAAGACTTGCAACATGCTATCACCTAAATGTTTGAGATTCCTTCTTCAACGTGGTACATTTAAATCACTGTAGAACTTGGGTACAGGCCAGAGGTGGAGGGGCTGTAAGAGGCTTCATTGAGAGGGGGGAGCAGGATAGGCAGATCAACGAAGTACACTGCTGAGAGGAGCAGTAGGGGAGACAGGAGAGGTCTGCTGCACCATATGGATCACCGCTGGGGCCAGGGATCGAACTCACACTGAAGTGGCTGCGGCTAGCTTGCAGTGCTGTGTCCTAACCCATTGTGCCACTATGGAGGGCCCACTATAGGCTTTTTATTGATGTCCTTTAACAAAATGTGTGTACACCTAGTCATCCTTTTCTGAAGACAGAAAAACTTTCTAACTACTCCTGGAAACACTGGAAAATGATCTTTTTGTTTTGTGAGGAAAGTGAGCAGCTAAATAGCAGAGCTCTCACTTAACATTTGTTGGGAAGGAATTCCCTCATTCAAATCATGAGCATCTTTGGCCTCAGTTCCCTATTTTAGGGTCTCCTACCTGGACTGTTATAGCCCTTCCTCTTCCTGTTTCCATACAGATCTGGGTCATTTTTCTTCTGCACTTAGTCTCTCAGTGGTTTCCTTATGCTCGCAGTGTCCAGACTCCTTAGGATAACTAAGAACCATCCATTTTTTCTCCGTTCCCCATGGCTTGATTGCTGGACTCCAGACTACTTATTTCTACTCTCCCCTGGCGTCTCCCTTTCCTTCCACATAATAGCAAGACGCAGCAGGTCAAAGACCAGAATGGCTTCATTGTCCTCCTTCCTGAATTCTGCCTATGATTATGAAAGTCATGCTATCAATGGGATGTTAGAATTTTTTCCACTACTTTTCTATCATGCCACCAACAAGTTGTCATGTCACATGTTTCTATGGGTCTTTTCCCAGGAATGGAGCCCACCACAGTGATTGTTGTTTATTTGAGTCCCAACACCAGGAGAGAGAGGCCAGGCTGTAGCGAGTTAGCAACAAGTAACTGTTGAAGAAATGAGTGAATTAAGCACACTCTGGGTGTGTCTTTTTGGTTTATAAAAGGAAAACATCAAGTATAGTACATTGTTTCTTACAAGGTATTTTAGTCCTTTTTGAAATTAAGGAGAAGAAAGGTAAAGCTTTGAATTGAATAATAGCATTTTATTTACCAGTGATGCTCTAAATACTTCTGGGAAATGCTGGAATTTAATAAATTCTGGTTTTCAGTACCTATAGAGGATTTGTCAGACTGGGATGTTAGTGTTTTGGGAATTATGAGACTAGGAAAGAGCCTGGACATTTCCCGATGCTTGATTCAGGGCTTTCCTAGTGGGTTAGTGCTCCTTCCATCAAATGAGTTACATCAGTGAATGAGACTTGGAGTAGGGAGTCAAGAGGCCCACCCAGTTCTTCTAAAAGGGTCAAGAAGTAACAATCTCCCATAAGTAGTAAGTATAGCTAAGTTCCTGGGTCTTAGTTTCTAACATCATTGTCCTTTATTAAAACAAACCACAGTCATCAGGAAAATGTTAATTCTAGAGCTGGGGCAAGGTGATCCTTGAGTATCATTTCAGACCAGAGTGTGAGGAACTGCTTTTAAAAAGTTGGAAGGACACAGGAAATAACTTGAAGAGGCTTCTATTAGTCAAATCCGTGGTAGTCTGAGCACCAAAATAGATGTAGTATGAATTGTAAACAAATGGGGGAAAAGAATTAATATGTCCATACTGATAATAGATGGATGGATAGATGTGGGGAGGGTAGGAGACAAGCTTAGTAAACACTGTGTGCCAGCTAGTAAATGTGGAAGAGATATTGCTAAGGCAGTAAAATCAGCATGTCATCATACTAGATTGGATCAGACAAGCTCATCAGTGGGCACTAAATCTAAGTAGAAATGTACAGGACCAGGATATTTACATGGTACTAAATATTCTACCACAGATTGCTTATTAGTTGTAAGATAAAATAATAATTATAAACTAGTGGAGAAATTGGATCAAAATTAGCAGCACTATTGGGTGTCGGACAAAAATGTAATATCATCCTTTATGTAGTATTGTGGCCAGTAATGTATAACCTGAATCTAATCATAAGGAAACATCAGATACATGCTATATTAAAAAACAGAAGGAGGGAAGACGATGTCCTGCAAGTAATTATAATCATAGAAAGCAGAGACTGTGGAAATGTTCCAAGTTAAAGGATTCTAAATTGATGTGGCAATTAAATGTAGTTTCTGACTCTAGACTGGATCCTGTGCTTGAGAGCAGGGGAGGAAGGATGCCAATAAAATTCATCATTGATTCAAATGACAAAATTGAAATATACATGGTAGATCAAAGTATTACATCAGCGTTACATTTACTAAAGTTAGTAACTGTGCTGTGGTTATGGTAGAGAAAAATTCCTATTAGAAAATACAAGCTGTCACATGTACAAGCAAAATCCCAAGTTGTTTATAGCTTTTTCTAAAATGTCTGAGGTAGGAGTTATATATGTCTGTGTATGTGTGTGTGTGTGTATGCACACACAATTTATATGTATACTTATACAGATTAATATGCAAATGAAAGATACACAACAGGGAAATGGTAAAATGTTAACAATAGCAACACGTGAATCTAGGTATTCATATTCCTGTAATTATTTAATTTTGAAATGCTTCCCCAATAAAAAGTTGAAAATGTACCATGAACAAATCAATGATTGTCATTTTTTTAAATTTCTGTCATTCCTTCTTCTGTTTCTTCTGTTTGTTTCTGCTCCTCTTCTCTGCCTTTTCTCTAGAAGTCCAAGGCTGGCGAGAAGGGCATCTCCGTGGGGCAGACGGTCATCACGAAGCACCGGAACACCCGCTATTACAGCTGCAGAGTGATCGCCGTGACCTCACAGACCTTCTATGAGGTTGTCTTTGATGATGGCTCCTTTAGCAGAGACACGTTCCCTGAGGATATTGTGGTACGTTCCTGAGATGTCTGGTCACTAGTTTATATAAATCTAAACCAAGTGATCCCTTTTAGAAATCTTTTGTTGGCTTTTGAAGTAACCCATTTTACTTAACATTTGATTCTCGTATGCTATTTTCCCATCACAAAGATCTGCTGTTTTCCAGGTGTCTCCTTGTCATTCATTCTACATAGTAGACAAGTGGGTGGGTTTAAGCTGATCTTCCCAAATTATTCTTATTAAATGAAATGTGTGTGTGACCAGAAAACATAAAATGTGAATTTGCCTGTTCTTTTCTGATAGAGTATTAGAATATTTGAATTCCTTTACTACCTTTTCTTTATGTTGAACCAGAGAATATGGCTTTTATTAGTTCAACCTGATAGTGATGTTTTTGACCTGTGGATGCCTCATGAGAGTAACAAAAATTGCACAGAAAAAAACTTGTGATGTTGAGTTTCATCTCTGTGGTCTGAAATGTGAGGTGCACACAAGTTTGTCTATCTGTCTTTGTCTGCTGTTCCCTGAGTCAACACCTTAGAGCTTATTCAGAGGAACAAGAAAGAAAGTATTTTGTTTTTTTGGAGGATGTTTCACAAGAAGAGCACTTGCCACAGAAGATTTTTGAAATCAAATCTGAGATTAGTCTGGTAACTGAAAGCAGGATTGTTCAATGGTCACTGTGTTATCTCTTCTGTATTTAAGGGAAATATGAGTTTTAAGTGCCAGGCCTTATTGTAGCTTCTGTCTTGTCTGGAGTCTGCTGATGTTTTACTATTTTATTATTGGTACCTGGGAAGATGTTTCTTAAGTGACTCTTTAATTGTAGCAATTATGCATTTTATGCACTCGATAATTAAATGTAATTTAATGAGATTGCTCATAAATATTTCTAGAATTTTGGTACCCAGGGTAAAAGAAATACCCATTCCGTCAGCTTTGTTTTGCATACGTCTCTTTGCTATTAAGAGGAACAGTGTATAAACAAAATGTCACCTAAGTTGAAAGATTTAAAAGCAAATAAGTGGGCTTAAACAATTAAAAATTTCTGGACTTGATCATGCTGAATAACTGACTGAAAAAGTCAGTTATGTTTCTTTGCAGAAATCTAACTGGAGCTCCATTTACTCCATTGCCATTGCCATTCACAAACTGAAATCCTTGGACGGCATGCTTTACTTAGCCTGGCAATGCAAGTATTAAGTTCTGTCTGAGACACCCTTCCAGGCTCACTAGAATAATGTTTAATCAAATATCTGGACACCCCATGGTCCAGTCAAACGATTATATAATATTAGATGCCTTTGTAGTATGAAAACTAGACTAAAAATATGGGACTGTGATACTTAATTTTAAGATATATGTATATTATTATATTATAAAGTTGTTCGTATATAAATTATATTTATTCACATATATGATATCATGTAAATATATTTATATCATTTTTTAGGCCCGGTGTTTTAATTGCCACCGTCACCAAGCTTCCACTTTTGATATTCTTGAAGACCTTAATAGGGAGTTTCATTAGACGACATAAAAAAAACAATTAGATTTATTTCTCAGATGTTTTAATTGCCACCATCACCAAGCTTCCACTTTTGATATTCTTGAAGACCTTAATAGGGAGTTTCATTAGACGACATAAAAAAGACAATTAGATCTATTTCTGTCTCAGTTTGTTATTGATTAAGGTAGGAAAATTATTTGGTGGAAACATTAAATACATTCCATATTCCTCAGAGAACTCTTGTTTTCATTAGATGATATACCTGTGGCATCAGAAACTGGAGGTAGAAAAATGATTTTTTCTTCTGGTTGTCTGAAAGCTCTCTAATCCATACCATGTGCTTATCAGGTGTGATTGCCTCTGGGAAGGCTCTTTCATCAAATGCACTGTGATGTCTGTGATGGCTAGCAAGGAATTTGCCTCTCTAAGCTTCAGGGCCCTGCTAACTGGAGCTATTGGAAGGGCAAGTTTTTTTTTTTAAACTATGAAAATAAGATTTAGAATATCAAGCTTAATCTACCCAAGCAATTTATTTAGGTCTGGCATAAATATAGTCCCTTATGAAGTTTGCTGCTTTAGAACAAAATGTTATATTCCCTTATTTGTAAAATCACTGATTACAAATCATTTTATAAACCCAGCAGAAGAGAGACTTGCAATGCAGACAGCCCTATCCATGTTTGAACATAAACCTGCCAGGCCTTAAAGTGCCTGTTAGGATTATGTGACTAGAGAGAGTATTTGGAGCAGTAGGGAGAAGCAGTCTTTGGACTACCAGGAAATTTCTTTCCATATCTAGGTACTTTATTTCTATGATAGCCAGAAAAATAGCCCACAATTTTTCTCTCAACAGCGCACCTGCAGAATGTATGTATCAGCCCAGTTAAACTCAGTATGCAATCTGTATCTGTCAGGGAAGTAATAAAAGATGTATTGCTACACGCCTCCATCTGTCAGTCTATGAAATTACGACACACTTCTTGATGAATTTTTTTGTCTCTTACTAATTTGGTGGGAATGAAAGTTGCCCACTCAAGAGAACTCACAAGCATAACAATTCCAATCCCTCCTTTTAAGCTTCTGCTAAAACCTGGGATCCTCCGGCATACCCATGTTGACACTAGAGTGATAACTGCTTCTGCTCTGCTCATCTGAATTTTGAGTTCATTTGAGAGAGGGGGTGGTGTGGTGTGATCCACATTCTTCCAGGATGAGCATTTAACATTCACTACTGGGCTTGAGAAGAGAAACGAGACCATTTAGAAATTGGACAGCAAGAGTCCATCACTGAAATTTCCATAAGGACTATCTACATTTTTCACTTCCTGTTGAAATGTGGAAGAGGCACAAGAACTATACTCTTTAGGATTCTGGGAATTGATTGTCATGGCCTTTCATTTTTGTGAGCTGTACAGTGCAAACTGATATTCTCAGAGCTAATTTTTTTCTCAGTTACAGACAAATTGCTTAAACATTCCAGCTTTAGTTTTTTACTCCCACTAAAAAGGGAATAATACTTTTAACCTTCTATGATTATTAAAAGGGTGAAATGAACTAAATGCTTTACCCATAGTAGAGACAAATCAGTTTTTTTCAGGATATTAACTTACAGGTTTTTTTCTTTCTCCATCTAGTTTATGCTGCCCCTTTTTGGTCTTGATGACATTTGGTATTGATAAAAGCATCATGAAAAAATTATGTTTTTCGAACTTTGTTCTTATTTGTTAAGTTAAACAGGTGCCTGTGTGCATGACATTTCATTGAATCAGTTTAATATCTGTTGTGCATTCCTAGAGTCTTTTAGACTCTTTAATAAAGAATATTTATATTTATATTCTTTTATTCTATATTTATGCTTGTGTTTTCAGTGACATTTCATACCAAAGCCTGCTCCCAAGTAAGTTTATGCTCATCTCATGGATGTGATACTTGCCAACTCACCAAAAAAGCTTTCATTTATCTAAACTAGAGGTGTTAGTTTAGCTCAGGATGTAGGCTTGGCCCCTGCATTCCATTGCTTGACACCTCTATTACTGGTGCCACCACTCTAGGAAGCCTATTACTGGTGCCACCACTCTAGGAAGCGTGCTCTCTGTCACTGAACAGAGCTGTGGTAGAAGACCCTGTCCCTCCTTTGATGAGCATTACAGTTGTAACTGCTCAGTGATTAGCCCCCTGCCTCTGTCTCATTTGTTAAATGTTGGGGCAAGGCTAACTTTGGGTGTTCCGGAGGTGAAATAAAACAAAGGGATTTGTGAAACTAAGGAATGTTATACCCCAAAACATTTTTTTGATATGGGAACCTGAGAAGCATTTTTGGATTTCTATTCATTCCTAGATTTGGAGGTGCTTTGGATTTTCAAGTCCCAGACCCAGTGTGTTATATTTACTACAGACTGATGTTCCTTATCTGTGCCTTTTGCAGGCAGTCCTGATTCTTGTAGAATCAATGACAATTAGCAGGAGAGGCTCCTGAAACTTTGGCTGATTTGAAATATGCAGATATGAATCAGATGGTGTTCTGATTGCTAAGGAGTGGTGCCTTTGGTTTTTTCTCTCTGGATAGTGGGGATAACCTGTGAGATGAAGGACTTTGCCAAATTCCTGTTCATTTTTAATACCTTGAGAAACTTTTCACACATGTAAAAGATGATGTTATGACTTTGATTTTTATCAGTACTTAATTTAAATTTTTATTTTTCTAAGTCTTTAAACTTATCTGACAAATTTATGAATTTTTATATAAGACACAAATTTATAATATATGAAAATCATATATTTGCATATATAATGCATAGATATTTACATAAAAATGAGAACAAACTCATTTGTTCTTTGATTAATGTTTATATAATGTGTATATTTGACAGATCATATCTATTTTACATATAGGCAAATTTCATTGAATGCCATAAATGCAACAATAAGTTTAAGATATATGTTCTTAAGATGTCACAATTTTTAAAAAGCTTAATGATCATAACTGATAAACCAGTCATTAGTCAAATTTTCCTATTTCAAACATTTTCATGAAACTATGCATGAAGTATTTACAAAACACATTACTTTTAAAAACCCAATTTATAATGGTCAGGTTATATTTAAATGCTATTTAATTAATAAATAGATCTATTTAATTAATAGATAGAAGAAAAAAATAACTACCCTAAGTAGGAGTAGTATTGATGTCTTCACCAGGTGTTTGCAAATAAAAAATAATCAAAGATGCTCAGGTCATTCAGAGGCATGAAGTCTGGTTGTCCCTTTGAAGGCTAAACCCACAGTTGCCAGGAAGGGGCGCCTGAGCAAAGTCAGTTTTCATTAAATTCATCAACTTTGAAAACTTTATGCCTTTTCTAAGGTCCTAACTAGTCTCATAATTTGCATGAAGAATCTCTTAAGTTAGTGGGGGTTAGATACCTACCAGACCATAGGATTTTATCACCTTTTATATAATTCTTGGGTGGTTTTTTACATTAAGACTAGGCCATACTAATTGAAT